ATGTAAAATGGTGTAGTATTTGCATGTAACCTAAGCATTTCACTCTATATACTTTAAATAATCTCTAGATTATTTATAATATGTAATACAATGTAAGTGCTTGTAAATGCTGTTATACTGTATTATTTAGGGAATAATAAGGAAAAATGTCCGTACATTTTTAGGCTTACCTACATAGTACATGCCAGCTTAACTTCATAGTACATGCCAGCAACAACATTAACATTGTTTTTCCAAATATTTTCAATCCATTGTTGGTAGAATTTATGGATTTGGAACCTGCAGAAATGAAGGGCCATCTGTACCCAAGATTTCTACTCACACTCAGAAAGTTCACTTGAATGTATCATTTTTACTGGACGTAAAAGGACTCATTTTTAGCTAGTTTTAGATGCACATAAAGAATTTGGCTATTTGCTATGTATAGAAATTTAAGAGGAACAATGGAATATTAGAGCTGGTGGCAAATGGTGAATGCTAGTCTTCAGTGTCCACAAAAACAAAAACAAAACAAAACGGCATAAGAATTAGACTGCACGAGGAATAAATTTAAAGTAAATTTCTGATCAAGCATCATCATCAGCCAAAAAGCATGGTGCCAAGGAAGATACAGGAAAAGTTCAGTTTTACTGTCTTCTAGCTGTCTGACCTTGGTCCCTTTCTGTGCCTGTTTGCTCAACTATGAAGAGAACTTTCTTTGCAGGGTCACATCAGGAATGACGTGGGAAGAGATTTAAAAAAAAATATATATATTTCATTGAATGTTTACAGAGAGGAAGGGAGAGGAATAGAGAGTTAGAAACATCCATGGGAGAGAAACACTGATCAGCTGCCTCCTGCACGCTCCCTACTGGGGATGTGCCCGCAACCAAGGTACATGACCATGCCTGGGACCTTTCGGTCCGCAGGCTGACGCTCTATCCACTGAGCCAAACCGGTTTCGGTATACATGGGAAGAGATTTATACAGCACCTATCACAGGCCTGGCTCATGGGGAGCCCCGATTTAATTGTGGCTGCTGTTGTCACCACCACCTCTAGCACCATAGGCTTTATTCAGTGTTTGAAGGGCCTGAGACAGATCAGTGCTGGAAGTTTCCAAGGAAAGGAAGCAATACACTTTATAATCATTTATGTGTGGTGTGACTATCAGAGAGGAATAGAGGGGCCCAGATGTCCTGTTGAAGGCAGAGCCCATCCTGTTTGTCTACATTTTCAGTGCCAGGTACATTTCATTCTTGTAATAGTTCCAGGGATAAACTCTGAGTTGAACGATATCCCTTTAAAGAGAGGCTCTTTTCTTGCCAAAAAAGAGAGCAGCTGATCACAGCCATGGTTACTATGTACAGTCTTGTTCTTGACATTTAAAAAGATCTAGAAAAGAGCTTCAAAAGTTCACCCAAAAGTGGATTGAAGGTAGGTGGTGGGAAGACAGGCTGCATGAGAGTTGGAGTCATTCACTCCAGACAAGAGTGGCTTTGACAGATTTCAAATGTGTTAAGTGCTGGGATGGTGATGCTGCTACTCTGCTCCCTTCCATCTCCAGTGAACACAGGGCTCCTCTCAGTACTTTTTCTTGGATGGATGACTTCCCTTTCTAAAGAAAATAATTCAACTAGATGACCTCTTGAGATCTCTTCTAGTCCTAAATCTTTGCACAAATATGAAACAGCACACAGACACTTAACTCATCCAGGTTAGCTCATCCAGGTGGAGTGGTTTTTCAGCTGCGCCCTGTTTAAAATGAGGCTGAGGCAGCCTGGTATAGTAGGAAGAGTGGGAGCCAGGAGTCAGGCAGAGCTGGGTTTAAATCCACCTCGGAAATTCACTATTGGGCAAGTGAAGGAACACAACTCGACTCAATTGTAGGTAGCCTGCAAATAACCTCTGCCTCCTACGGTTCCTAAAAGGATGAACAAAGTTAATGTTGGCAAAGCATCAAATATTTTGAATGGCATATTATAGGCCTTGGATAAATTAGAGCTATTATTCTGCTATTTTTTCTAGTTGGCTAAAAAGAAATGCGTTGAATAGTTGAGTACCATAAAAAAAGAGCAATACCATTCTGGTTATAGTTACACTTTGCTAGTAAAACTACAGATTAAAGTGAGCAGACTGACAGCCTCCTGTGTCCCCAGGACCAACTCTGCTTGTCCATGCCAAAGAATGTTTGAGGGGGCAAATTATTAGCTAGTTTGGTGCTAAGGAGCAGAGGAAACTTTAGGTGAAGTCCAAGGCATCTTGGTAAGAATCTGGTTTCTCTCACTGTCACCACAAGAATCAAGTGAATTATTTCAAAAAGGTTTCAAATACACTTCCAAGTACTAGTATAAAGAATATATCACATCTCACTGACTTGTAATTCACACCAAGCATAGTAAAAACATCAGTCAAAAAATAGGTTTGCAAACCAAAGTTGTCAGGAACTGTAATTAGGATTTTTTTCTTCTTCACGAATGATATAAAGCTAAAAATAAAAGCCATAAAAAAATTCAACAGCTTTCACATAGCCATTAAATGCAGTGGTCGGAGCCTCAGACTGAATAAAAGAAACTTCTGTCCAGCTAGAGTGGCTCAGTGGTTGAGAGTTGAGCTCAAGGTTCAATTCCTGGTCAGGGCACATGCCCGGCTTGTAGGTTTGATCTCTGATCATGCTGGAGGCAGCCAATCAATGATTCTCTCTCACCAGTGATGTTTCTGTATATCTCTCTCCATCTCCCTTCATCCCTGAAATCAATAAAAATATATTTAAATAATAAATAAATAAAAACTATTACTATCAGAATTTTCCATAAAATGTAATATTTTGGTGCTGCATCAATAGGGTATTACATTTTTATAATTTACAAAAAGATCTGGAGTCCAAGACAGGAGCATTTGTGTTTTACCAGTAGTGGAGCCTGTACAGGATGCCTGGAGGCTGTGGAGAATTGGAAAAGACAGAGGAAGCACAAGGTACAAACATGCACATGAAGTGAGGCCCACAGAGAGCTGGGCCAGAAAAATGGGAATGTTTCCTGAAGCCCCATGTGTTGTTAGAAGAACTAGACTTGGCTTGGAAAGCATGTCCTGTTTCCATCAAAGGGGGACCTGGTTACAGTTGATAGAACCAAACCCGACAGACAGACAAGGGAGCAGAACAATGCACTTTGATCTTCTGGAGTCACATGCAAGAACAGCTTGTTTTTGTTGGTGAATAAGCACAGGCATGACAAGTGGTAAAGTGACCTTAGATATATCAGGGAGCCGGGGGAGGCCCAGTGTAGATGCCTGTCAGTATTAGGTTAATGACGGCTACTGTGCCAGTCCATCAATCCTAAACAGGAACCTCACAGGATAATGAAGCAGCCCTATCAGGACCACAATGCAACTTTTACACTGTGGACCCAAGTTAAAATTCATGTTTTTAAAAGAATAAATTTCAAGTGGCAGCAAACCACTGAGTTATTGAACCAACCTACAGTAGCAAAACCCAAAGTCTCAGCAGGCTCATATTAGACCAATCATTCTCACAACATTTTTTTAGAAGTGGGGTATATATAAAGAGTCCTTTGAAACTTACCGTATCTATTCTTACTTTGCTTCACGTCATCATTTTATTATGCTTCCCTGAAACTATAGATATTACAAATGTGATTGCATAGTGTTTATAAGCAGGTTAATTACCGTGTGTGTGTGTGTGTGTGTGTGTGTGTGTGTGTGTGTGTAATAATTGGACAAAAGAAACAAACTAACATGGGAAAAAACTAACATGGCAACTAAGATAAAAATCAAGACCATCCTGGAAAGAAAAAACAACAAAACAAAACTTAAGGAGAAGACAAGTATCCAAGTTCAAAGACCTTGTTATCAAAATTTTTTTGTTAAAGTTAAAGCTTTACTTTCATATGCCTCCTTCTGAATCCCTTTAAACAGACCTGTCTAAATTGCAGATTCTCTCAGTGTGTGAACAGCTTCTCAGCGGCTTATTCAGTATTTGAGGCCACTTGGAGAAATGCCAGTAGAAGGGTGCTCAGGGGTTGCAGAGAGCTACCGGCTTGAAGGGATAGAGGGGACGGTCAGAAAAGCTTACCTCAATACCAAGGAGCAACTCCTGTGTTTGGAGTAGCTAAATAGTTCAACCCTATGAGGTAACACCATGTTTGATTTTGACAAGGGATAAGCTGATCCACAAAACCTAAATTCTAAACTTAAAATGAAAGATGTTAATTTATAAGTAAGGGGTAAGAAGTTCTCCTTATCTGGATTTTGTTACATAATAACACATTCTCTATGATAGGCTTAAAATTAAGGTCATGAAGGCTGTTGGAGTTTTGGTGACAAGAAGTTGCTAAATATTTTAAAGCATATTCCTTCTTGTGTCCTTCCAGATTAAGCTTCCCTTTACTGAACTTTCCCTTCTTCGCTGTCTTATATTAATGCTTCAGATTATTTTGGAAATGTGTCTTTTGAAGGACTTCAGAGATATTTTTCTTTCTTTTTAAAAATGACCTTCACATAAAAGTAATAGACTTTTCAGATAACAAAGCCCAAAGCAAATAACATCCGACTCTGCAAATATGGTCATGAAAAGACCAAAGAGACCTTTAGAGCTGAGGTGGTCATGTGCTCAGAAAACTTAAAACATTTTAACAGAAGGCAAATAAAGCATTATCCAGGAAAACAGCAATCAAAGCAGCCCAAGGCTGAGGGCACAAAAGAATCTTCCTCTTACAAACACCCCTGTTTAACTAGTACCCTGGTTGCTTTTAGTCAAGTACTTCCTGGGAGGAACAGAGTGGCCAGGCACACTGCTTTTCTTGACAACAGGAAACAACGTCATTTTGGGTTATGTTTTTTTTTTTTTTTTTTTTTTTTTTTTTTGTCTTTTCTTAGACACACTGCAGAACCCAACATATTTCAAGGCCATATGATGTGGTTTTTGTTGAGTTATGAAGCAGCTGTGGGTTTTGGAAAGGAAATTGTATTCAAGCTCAACCGCGCTGCATAGTCCTGGTTTACCTGCCATATGCAAAGCGCCGGTCTTTGTGATGATCGCCAAAAGTATCCCAAAGCCTGAGAGAAACACTCACTTCATCAACAACATCCCGGGAACGTTCTAAAACCTGCAGGAGAGAAAGAGAGCATTCGTGCTCAGCGGCACTCAAAGGCTCCCTAAGGAAGGATGTCTGGGTCAGCACCCCTCAATGTCTGCCGACTCCAACTTGCTTGCATTTAGTTTTCTCATTTTCCCTAACTGGACTTAACCTCAGCTCAGTTCTCCTCCTGGAATCACATGACTCAAACCCACCTCATTCAGGACCCCATAGCCATCCTCCCAAATTTGCATTTCGCTTTTATTTTCTCTTATGGGCCTACAAATGCTAGTTTTATTTTGAATGTACAAATTGCCCCTTCCCTCCCTTTAAAATCAGACAGGCAGTAGCAGTGATGTGCCCTGAGAATTCTAAAGGAATTCTGTATGTCTTACCTCCTGGCAGACCCGGTACTGGTCAATTGCCCACACGGTTGGTACATGGGTGGCCAGCAGCTGATACTGCGTTAGCGTTGTATTACATGCTCTGGCACAGATCAAGCGTGTCTTCCCCACGGCGTTGTCCCCCACGACCACACACTTGATGGTTTCAACGTTGGGCCTTTCGTAGTCCATGTCAGTGTCCATTTATAAAACCCTGCAAGAAGAGAGTAGATACCACATTAAAGACACCAGGGCTTTCCGGGGCAATCAAAGACCTGAGGGGTTCTGGCAGTTTTCTCTCTGTCCAGGAACTGCTTTGGAGGTAACCAAACATAAGCAAGAAGTTTGGAAGTTTATACTAAGCCTAAGTGAAACCCAAGTTTTCTTTTTATATCTCACACAAGTAAAAAAACACCGGATTGTTATTTTGACCTCTAAAGGTTTATTCCGGTTAACATGTTATTTTCTCCTTGGTTTTCTCTAAACACAACCTGCCTACTGGAGAGCCATCCAGTCTAGTCAGCTGCTGGTACACATTTATAGCTCACCAGCTACTCATGTTGACGGCTAAAGAGACTCATCACCTGCAGGGTTAGCCTGAGACACGAGGGCAGAGGCTGCCTTGGCAATACTAGTGCCCATACCATCACAGTCTTCCAATGATCTAGTATCTCCTGATGGAAAGCAGTTTTCTATAAATTCTCAACTATCATGGTGACTTAGAGGAGACTCCATTGTGCAAGCAGACAGCACTATCCAACATTACTGAAGAGTGAATTGGAATTTTACTGATTGATGCATTAATAAAATCAACTTTTTATATTTATCCATTTATTTGTATTAATCAAGTTCATAAAAATATACTCCCACAAGGGGCACCATTAAGCAATATATATTTTATTCTCCTTTCTGTGTTTTCATCAAGAAATCTGGAACATTTGGTAAAGAATGATTTTACCAGGATGAGGAACTACTTGGGAGTTTTCCTGAAACCATCAAAAAAGGTTTAAAGAGAGTTGCTAACCCGATTTTCTGAATTTTCTAATACTGAAGATCTTTCAAGAGGAAGAGGAAGAGCAGCTGTTAGCTTTGCTTTCCGTATAAGAGCCTCCACAAAAGGCAGAGCAGACTGCTTCCTGGTAGAGACCAGATGGACAGCCAACCATTTTAAGACTTTAAGATTTTAATGAAGTGGAACTGCTTTTTTGAGGAAGTCTATTGTTAAATTGAGAACACTGGTTATATGGTCATTTTTAAAGAGCCAATAATGGATTTAATGGCCATAGTGGTAAAGAAACTATTGGACCTGATACGTAATAGGAACTCTATAAGTGTTTAATTCAACTGATTTGAGAAAAATGACCATTTGCCTAGTGTGAGAATAAGAGAATAGAGGGAGAGATAGAAGGAAGAACATGAAGAAGAATGCTTTTTCAGTTGGGACTATCTGGAAATAAACTTGTCTCCTGTAACACCATCACAGGAGGTGACAGACCAGAGGCTCGATAATTATTTGATGGGAATGGAGTGACTCAAGGAACAGATGTGTGATGAGGTTAGGATCTGATTTGTGGCTCCTACACAAAGGAAGGGCTTAAAATAGATAGACACCTGCCCCTCACCTGTCAAATGCTGTTCTGAAGGTCTCAGGTGGGAAAAGAAATCTCCAATTCTGAGGATCAGCCAGTGTGGTAACTCCTAATATTTATCTTTAAAATATAGCCTTGACATTCCATGGTTTTACCTGTTCCCTATTTAATAGCATTAGATGGCAAAAGCATGACTATGGCATTAGATCAGTGGGTCTTAAGTAGAGAACATTTAGCAATGTCTGGAGACATTTTGGGTTGTCACATGGGGTTGGGGGAGTGCTATTGGCTTCTAGTGGGCATAGGCCAGACGTACTGCTGAACACAGTAGAATGCACAGTACAGCCCCCATAACCAAGTGCTGCCCCAAATGTCATAGTGCTGAGGCTGAGAAATCCCTGCCTTAGATGGATGTGAGTTTGAATCCTAGTCCCCATTTTGCAGTCATTGACTTGGCAAGTTATTTCCTCTTTGTGAGTCTCAGCTTCCTTATCTGTGAAGTGGGAATCCCCTGAGGCTGTTGTGAGAATTAGGTGAACTGTTGTTCTAAATCCCCAACACACAGATGACTTCAAGAATTATAATCATGATACTGAAGATGAATGCCTTTACATGACAGCAAAATTGAGTCAGGTGGAAGGCCTGAATTGGATGCAAAACCATACACTTGATTTCACACAAAGATATATAAAAGGGATATATTCTAGAAGAGCAATTAGAGGGTAAGTTACTGAAAAACAGAGAATGGAAATACAAGATGGAGCATAGGTGACCCTATACAAAGAAGGCAGAAAAGATTCTGGGTAGGGAGGAGGATATAGTTACCTAAATATAATAGAGTTAGAAAGGTAGCTTAAAAATATTTTTAGGAGACATTTCTAGCTTCTGGAATAAGAATGGTAACACTTCTTAATAGTCTTCATAAGTTTCTGGGGATATTAGCATGGGGTAGCCTATGCCAGAAAAACAGGTTCCATTTGGAGCTTCACACTCTGGAAACTGAGTTATATTATTTGGAATGCCCTAAGAGATGGAAGGAAAACCTCACTCTTCTAAGAGTGAATTTTATTTTATGTTTTAGATCAGTGGTCTCCAACCTTTTGGACCTCATGGACCACCAGTGGTCTCCGGACCACTGGTTGGTGACTGCTGTTTTAGATAATTAAAAGTTATAGAAAGCCAATCCCTAAAATTTGAAGAATGCTTGATTTAGTCAAAATTGAGATATGGAAAAAAAATACAATTGGTTTTCTTGTTGGTTTGCAAAGTAGCTCTGTTAGCAGCTCCAAAGGAGTAATCTCCTTTCCCCTCAATAATTTGAAACATGGCAGCTCTGGTGAAATAGCTGTGTAGTTTTTTCAGGACACTATTTGAGGAAGCCAACGCTTTCCCAGCTTTATATTAAGGCTACGATTACAAAAATATCATTACTTATTTATAGACACATCTCATGTGCAGTCCTTAAAAGAATTTGTGTCAAAGGTGAGAATAACATCGGTGAGTTGTCTAATCTCTAGCAATCTGCTAGACACCGAAGTGACTGCCAAAGGTGCTGAACGTTGTGCAAAGGGGAGAGCATATAAAGAAAATAAAAGGCAGAAATTAAATATTCATAGCCTAGATCACTTTAGACATGGAATTTAATTTTCAGGAATGGTTTTCTTGATTTTCAAATACTGAAGATCTTTTCTTTTGGGAAGAAATTTACTTTGTTGTAATCTAAAAAGCATTTTAAGGGCATGAAGTCACAGCCAAGGATGTAAACTCATGCTACATATGTATTATTGTAAAATGATTGTTCATCTGTTACATATAAACAAATGAGCATTAAACTATGGTGGTAATTATGGAAATATGCAATTTCATTTTCCTTTACATGTTAGGGGCTCTAATTTATTCATATCTGGCACTGACCATCTGGATAATGACTATCTAGTTTCTGATCTTTATTTACCTAGCATGAGAATAATAAATAGTATTCATTTAGCACTGTTAATAAATTTCAGCACCATGTATCATGCAGATCTGCGCAGATACCCTTTTGCCTTTAGATACATATTTGAAGAGATAAGGAAAGTATAAAAGAGAAAGAAAACTTAGAAGAACTGACATTAGTAACCTGTTACTATAGCAGGAAATCAGAAATGGTATGCTTATTTAAAGACTGGCAAGTGAACAAGGCAAATGTGGAAGGTGACAAATAGGTGGTACATGGTGGCTGCTGCTCTGGGTGCAATGCCCACCATCCATAGGCTGACTTAGAACACAGTGGTCATGATCTTCTGGCTATTAATTAGCCCTATCTGGCTTGATTATCCCACACCTGTCCATGGCATTATTACTGTCATCTCCTGAACTGCAGATCCTTCCTCCACTTTCACCATAACCATCATCATCAAGTCTTATTGTGTCCCCAAGAGGATGTACCCCACACCCTAACCTCACAATTTCTTTACCTCTTCAACACTAGTGATATCTGCCACACTCTAATGAGCTATTCATACTTGTCATTCAGAAACATTTTGCCTCTGAAATCTCAAATTTCAAAATCCTACTCTCAGAGCAAAAATTCCTATTTTCACAACTTGTGCTAGATAAAGTATGGCCACTGCAGCAACTCTCATCAGGACATGGAGTCTATTTCCTGTCCTCTTGAATATGAGTTCACCTTGTGACTGTTTGGCCAAACCCAAAGAATGTGGCAGTGATGCTGTGGGGGCCCAGAATCACTGCGCTCCACCTTCAGGCTATTGGAATGCTGTCCTGAGGCTATCATCCAAGGAAGCTGGCCCAGCCTAAGAGGATGGGAATTCACAGTGAGAACAACTGAGGCAGCCCAGCCCTTGATCTTCCAGCTCAGCCATCTCTCCTGTTACATGTAGCTTTATGAGCAAGTCCAGATAAAACCAGCCCAAGAATCACCTAGCTATATCTCACAAAATCATGAGAATAGGTTGTAGTTTTAAACCACCAAGTTTTGGGTGATTTGTTATGCAGCAAACATACATTTGTTAACTGAAACATACCCATGGAAAAACTCCAGCATATTGACTCCTCCATTAAAAAAAAAACAAAAAAAAAAAACCACAACAAATACCAGGTTATAGGCCCCTGAAATTGGTGCCTGATATGGATGGATGGTATTTTCCACCTAGGGTTGACAGGTTCATGCCAACTTCTCTCTTCATCATCACCTTCAACACCTTGTAATGCATTACATGTGTGGAGGCAGAATAATGATCCCTCAAAGATATCCTTGTCCTAATTTCTGGGACCTATGAGTATGTTACATGACAAAGGGTAGAATTAAGGTGGATGATGAAATTAAGATTGCTAGTCAGTTGACCTTACTACAAGGAGATTATCTTGAACTAGAGGCTCAGTGCACAAATTCATGCACCAGTGGGGTCCCTCAGTCTGGCCTGTGGGATTGGGCCAAAACCAGTTCTCTGACATCACTCGAGGGGTCCCAGATTGCAAGAGACCATAGGCCAGGCTGAGGGACCCCACCAGGGCATGATTGGGGCCAGGAAGGGACATGGAAGGTTGGCTAATGGGGAGGGACCTTGGGAAGATCAGGGTGTTTCTGGCCTGTCTCCCTCAGTTCTAATGGGC